ATCGATCTGGAGTAGATGTCGTTGTAGATGAGGCCAGTGTAGACCGAGAACAGGCCCATCAACAAGATTACATAACGACCACCGAAGAATGTGTTGAATATCTGAAACATTTCTGAATTTTGCATTCAAACCTCACAATTTCGATTCAGATAAGTCGAGAGTCTCGAACGTTTTGACCGTAATTCAAGAGTCTCGAGGTGTACCAACCGAAGTCCACTAGTTCACTTTTAGCAGCCATTTGTTTTTGACACTTCGAGAGTCTCAAGGTTTCGGGGAGATAAGTCGAGAGTGTCGAAGCTCTTAAGTGGAAGTCGAAAGTGTCGAGACTCTTAAGTGGAAGTCGAGAGTGTCGAGGCTCTTAAGTGGAAGTCGAGAGTGTCTAACTTAAGACTAAGAGAGCAGCATCACCTCATCGCGTATCTTCATCGCAGCCAGTTTCTTCTCGAAGAGCACCAGCAGTAACGCACACAAGAACATCACTATGCCATGCCCAGCATCACCGAACATAATCGCGAATATAAACGGAAACGTTATGATGGTCCATGGCGCTGCAATTGTTGCTTTCAATGAATTTTTTTAATATCTCTATTTTTTTAAAAAAAATATCAAAATTTTTTGAATTTTTTTTTGACGGACTCCGAGGAATCTGAACACGACGATGAGGCAAGNGCGGCCAGCTAACCTGGATTGATCTCACGATACGTTGCAACACCGTATGAGTCGACAATATTTTGGAATGCACGCGTAAATTTGTTGACCTTATGGAAGGTTGGCGGCGTTGTTTTGGTCTCCATTTCATTCAGAATACACGGGACATCCATTCCGCTCATCTCCTGAAATTAATTTCAGGCTAATTATTTTTCTTTTTTTTGAAATTTCAGGTCAAATCTTAAAATTTCACAAAATTTCAGGCCAAAAAAATTAGGGCTGACCGTTCCAACTTCAAGCGCTTTACGCACAGTTGACAAGTCCGCAGTTGGTATCCAGCACTCAGCGATCAAACATTTTTGTGTGATATCCAAATTGAACAAATTCATTGTGCTGAAGATTGACTTTATTTTCAGAACCTGAAATGCTCGCAAAACTGATCAAATTTTCATAGACCTGAAATTAAAATTGGTGCAATTTTTTAAATCTGAAATCAGATTTCAGGTAAAAGCGATCTGAATGATGATATAGTGCTGCAAAATAACGTCACAGCTCAGAGCTTAATGACGATATGATGCTGCAAAATGACAGCGTCATAGCC